ACGTTTGAAGTATTTGTACAGGTAAAAATTATGTCCTATTTAGTGTAAATGAGTATTAAAATGAGTAAAAGGCACCATTCTGCCCGAACCAGTCGCGTCTTATGTAAACAATGTACGCGCCATTGAGCCAATGATTGACACCGCGTGATGTGACGTCGCGTGTTTAAAGCAGTCATCTTTTACAAAGATATTAGAAGACTTTCGTAATTCTCTGTGAAACAGATTGACAATAATCTGGCAGATAACAGTCGGGTTGCCAGTTAGTGATACCTGACAATTTTGCCCAGTGCTTGCCCCATGGGCATTATTCGGTGTCTATACTTTCCAAATATACCAAATTTGACATACCATTATTGAAAATAACCACCCGATAAATACTTTTCTGGGAAAATATCTTTAAAGTAGTTAACAGCAGGATTTTTCGTCAGATTAGCCATGACAGCAGGATTTTTAGTCAGATTAGCCATGACAACATTAACTTTCGTCAGAATAGCTATGACAGCAAAAGTTTTGTTCACATTGGTTCTCACAGCAGGATTGCATATACAGTAGTTTGGTCCTAACAGGATTTCTCTTAAGATTATCCATCACAGCAAGATTTTTAGTCAGATTAGCCATCACGTTACAGCAGAATTTTTTCCAGATTGGTTCTCACGGCGGGATTTTCCATAGATTGGTCCCAACAGCAGGATTTTCCATAGTTTGGTTCTCTCAGCAAGATTTTCTATAGTTTGGTCCCAATAGCGGGATTTTTTGTTAGATTATCCATCACAGCAGGAATTTTCCTTAGATTACCTATCACAGTAGGATTTTTCTTCAGAATAGCCATCCTAGCAGAATTTTTTTGTTATATTGTTTTTCACAGCAGGAGTCTTGTTCAGATTGGTTCTCACCGCAAGATTTCCTATAGATTGGTCCAACAGGCGAATTTTTCTTTAGATTATCCATCACAGCAGAAAGTTTCGTTAGATTATCCATCACAGCAGAATGTTACGTCAGGATAGCCATCACAGCAGAATTTTATTTCTCAGATTGGTTTTCACAGCATGAATCTTGTTCAGATTGGTTGTGACAGCATGATTTTCTATACATGTAGTTTGGGCACAACACTACAGCAGGATTGTTTTCTTTAGATTATTCATCATAACAGGATTTTTCGTCAGATTAACCATCACAGCAGAATTTTTCACTGCCCATGCGTAACCGGGAGTTTTTTTTTCATGTGGTGGATTATCCAGTATCTTTGGCCAAGTCAAGTAGGAGTTGCACCCCTTTCCCCTAATAAATCCCATAATTCTTGCAGTGATATAAACAAACATGAATCGTGACGACGAATTGGGATTAATTTTAAAAAACATAGATATGGCCCATGAAGAGAGAAATTTTACAACAAAAAAGCAATTAAGAGTGTTGGATATTGAACTGTCAATTCAATCAAATGGATTTTCTTAAATCGCATTCTTAAATGAATTTCATGGGCGTCAACATCTTGTTTTAGGACTAGTTACCTCCCTTATACTTTGTTTATAATAATGTAAAAGACCGGAACAGTCTACAGGTCACAATTTTTATCCGATTTCAACGAAACTTGAAATATAGGTTTATCACCCTAAGATCTCGGTTCATTTCGATATTGGCATGTATCGGACTGTAACTTCATGGGTTATGGCCCCTGATTGTACAAAAAAATCACGTTTTTAGCTTGTGAACACTGAAGAGGTCACAATTTTTATCCGATTTGGTTTAAACTTGAAATGTATGCTTATAACCCAAAGATCTCGGTTTCTTTCGATATTCGCGCATATCGGAACGTAACTTCCTGAATTATGGCCCCTGATTGTACGAAAAATCGCGTTTTTAGCTTGTGGACCCTATAGAGGTCATAATTTTTATCCGATTTAAAAAAAAACGTATTATTATATCACCGTTACACCCCAAGGACGACTGAGTTCGAATTTCGTGAAAATCGGACAAAACTGACAGACAAAATGGCCGCCGTTCGTTCTCAAATAGCGTAAAAATATGGTATATCAAGGTTGTGGACCCTATAGAGGTCACAATTTTTATCCGATTTTGTTCAAACTGGAAATATAAGTTTATAACACAAAGATCTTGGTTCCTGTCGATATTGGCGCATATCAGACCGTAACTTCCTGAATTATGGCCCATGATTGTACGAAAAATCGCGTTTATAGCTTGTGGACCCTATAGAGGTCATAATTTTTATCTGATTTAAAAAAACGTATTATAATATCACCGTTGAACCCTAAGGACGGCTGAGTTCGAATTTCGTGAAAATCGGCCCAAAACTGACAGACAAAATGGCCGCCGTTCGTTCTCAAATAGCGTAAAAATATGGTATATCAAGGTTGTGGACCCTATAGAGGTCACAATTTTTATCCGATTTTGTTGAAACTTGAAATGTAAGTTTATAACCCAAAGATCTCAGTTCCTGTCGATATTCGCGCATATCGGACCGTAACTTCCTGAATTATGGCCCCTGATTGTACGAAAAATCGCGTTTTTAGCTTGTGGACCCTATAGAGGTCAAAAAAAAATTTCCGATTTAAAAAATCGTATTATTATATCACCGTTATACCCTAAGGAGGGCTGAGTTCGAATTTCGTGAAATTCAGCCCAAAATTGACAGACAAAATGGCCGCCCCTCGTACTCAAGTAGCGTAAAAATATGGTATATCAAGGTTGTGGACACTATAGAGGTCACAATTTTTATCCGATTTTGTTGAAACTTGAAATGTAAGTTTATAACCCAAAGATCTTGGTTCCTTTCGATAATCGTGCATATCGGACCGTAACTTCCTGAATTATGGCCCCTGATTGTACGAAAAATCGCGTTTTTAGCTTGTAAACCCTATATAGAGGTCATAATGTTTATCCGATTTTTAAAAACGTATTATTATATCACCGTTATACCCTAAGGACGGCCGAGTTCGTATTTCGTGAAAATCGGCCCAAAACTGACAGACAAAATGGCCGCCCTCGTTCTCAAATAGCGTAAAAATATGGTATATCAAGGTTGTGGACACTATAGAGGTCACAATTTTTATCCGATTTCGTTGAAACTTGAAATGTAAGTTTATAACCCAAAGATCTCGGTTCCTCTCAATATTTACGCATATCGAATTGTAATTTCCTGAATTAGGCCCTTGATTGTAGGAAAAATCACTTTCTTTTTAGCTTGTTCTCTATCCATCTCTAGAAAATGTGGGCGAGTTGAAATAATGGTGGATTTGGGTGGTTTTGAGTAGATTTGGGCAAATCGTGCTACCGGTCCCGTGTATACATTGGCGTGTACGTAAAAGATCCCTTGGCAGTTGGAATTCGATATAAGAGTAGACCGTTATGCCGTTATCCGGGCAAAATTTCCCTCATAGCACACTGTATGGCGTAAATGCCCGTCTTCATTAGCCCAGTCGGAACAGAACAGTAGGACGTTAAACCCCATTTCAATTCACGTTACGCGTTAAACCCCATAATCTAGGTCTAATACTGTTACGCATAAAATTCGCCTACACATTAGTAGTTTTCTTCAGAGAAGCCACGGTGGCTCAGTGTTCACGGAGTAAATTCTTTTCTCAAAGAAGTATTTTTTTTATTTTTTTTTATTTCAGCGCTATTAGAGTTAACAGTTCTTTTACTGAATTAATTTCGTCGGTTTATATCTTTTATTAAATATTCCTTTGGCTTTTAAAACCGTAAAGAGACAGATGAGTCACAATTATTTGGAGTAACCACAAAGAGCCATAATTTCTTTTGATTGGAATCGGTGGTCATAGTCAGTCTTAATCCATGTTTACGTCGCAGACAACTTTTATACTTGCCAGAAAGTATTGTCGCTGGCGGGCGGCTACATAATATTGGGCCGTATTCAGACTATATTCTTATTAGTGATCCAATGCAATATTTTACTCCATATAATTTGCCGCAAACTAAGCCAAACAATAATGTGGGTTCTATCAGACGTAATTAATTATCGTCAGAATAAACCATGGGATAATCGTTGCACATTCACTACTTATGGAATACTGTGTAAATATGCCTCCCTCCCTCCATATCGATCTATTTACGTGGTTTGGTGATTCGCGGATTGGTAATTCCAGAGATAGGCTGACCGCCCCTCACCCCTTTCCTTCCACAATAATGGCCACAGATCACTAATGATTTCCCCATTGACTTTAATGTTAATTCTCGTCTCTTAGACTGGCTCTAACGTTTTCCAAAATTTTCGTTGGTTAGAACGCTTTCTACCACAGATGGAGCAACATGTGGCAACCTCTTGCCCAAAAGCACGTATGAGGTTCTGCATGAAAAACTTGAGATACACAAACTGGAAGTAGAGATAAATAAACATGCACTTTTCGGCCCTACATTTCAACCTCACCAAACTCTCAACTCTTCCGTATATATTGAATATTCACCAAAACCTGGCAGAAAATGTATTTTCAAACCCTTTTCTTCGATTTTACACCAAAAAGCCAACAAAAATCGCCATGCAAAAGGGGGAAAAGGAAACGGTAGAGAAAAACTAAAAATAGCTTCGTTGGTGATCTGTATCCATATTTTAAGCGACCTTCTCCGATCATGTCCAGGCGTGGTTATGCTTCTTAATTCCCGCCTACAAATACGTTAGAATTTCTGCTCTTATAGCTACTGGTAGCGCCTCTCCTTTTTTGGTATTTTGAAGGTTGGAATATAGCACCCACCGGAAATGTGTATACATTGCTGGATAATCGATTCACCGGATGGCAACGTCAGAAAAGGACATGACTAATAAAGGCTATCGAGGATAGGTAGACTCGCACTGGGCACTCGGCAAACCTCAGCAGATTCCAGTAACCTACATCTAGCCTCGGCTGTATGGCGAAGTCCGCCATTGGAACTACTTTTAGGTTCCCAGATTACCAACGGCGTTGCCCATGACGACGCCTTTGAATAATGTTTTATCACACAAATATTTCGGTACTATTTTAGTAACGTACCTCTACTGCAGTTCCCATGATCGTAGAGACTTGTCAGCCCTCCGCCCTGCATCACTGCAAGGGAGAACACGCCGGAAAATCTGTATGAACTTTCTCGGCCAATTATGCAGGGATCGAACACCCTACCTCCTGGCTAGCGAGCCAGCGTCTTACCCACTTAGCCACCGTGATCCCCTGTTTACTTCAAACAAGGACAACTTTGCACTGAATATTCTACACACTCTTCAAACGACGCAATTTTGATAGCTTCTTTTTAAAAGCGGCAAGTTTTCCTAATAAGTAAACCGGTGCCGCTTCGCAATTGTATAGGCGTAGGTACATATCACTTACCGTCATACATTGCAGCCGAGGCTAGATGTAGAGTAACGGAATCTGCCGAGATTTGCCGAGTGGTAGAGTCGCTTACCAGAAACTAAGTTGTACTTACGGTATACCGAAATTACCCATTCGTACCAAAACTGTTTAAATAGAATAATAATGCAATTTCATTAATTAGCTAGATTACGAACTGAACATGAACATAGTTAGCAACAGCGAAGGATTAAACTAACTACGAGCAAAGAAAAACAATGGGAAGCAGGGTCGGATCCAGGAATTTTTGCAGGAGGGAGTTTGCCAGGTTCCTGCATATTCCTGAAGCAATGGCCAGAGAAATCCGGGATTAGCTCTAATCAAACGGAACACTGCGAGGAGTATGGGTTCCTGAGACAATGTATCTCCCCCCCCCCCACCGCTCCCGCATGGTCTCTATCGTCATTTTGGCGTATATACATACACATTGAGCTTTTTAAACAGAGAAATTCAACACCTCGTTTGACGTCAATTTTTATTATACAATGACATTGTGATTCAATTTCATGGATGCAAAGCATTAATTGTGATATCACATAATATCTATATCATTATCTCGTGCTTTGAGTGCCTATCCTGTCTCACATCTGACGATAAAGCCGAGAAACTTTTCTCATAAAAATTGTTGATTTACAAAAAAAAAATATGTAGCTGACAATGACCATTTTCGGGAATTGGTAGAAGTTGCCCTGGATTTTCTGGCGATTTGTCCCACTTGTCTTCACACAGAGATCAATCTACGTCATTCCTCACATCCGTCATACACACAAAGACTAAAAAACTTTTTTGAATTTTATTAAATGGAAACAGAATAAATACTCAACAATATTCTCGAAGTATACTCAGTGTTTTCGACTAAAATCGTAGATTTAGGACTTAAAATGTTGGTCAACTAACTTATAGTGTTTGTTCCCAAGCCCCCTTGTCAGTGATGCAGGACGGAGGGCTTGACAAGGACAGCTGTCTAGTGGTTCGGATGGGACGGAAAACCGAGGTCCCGTGTACACATTGGCGTGTACGTAAAAGATCCCTTGACAGTTGGAATTCGATATAAGAGTAGGGCGTAGTGCCGCTGTCCGGGCAAAATTTGTAGCACCATGGGTCTTCTGTCAGACGTGGAGAGCGGGGGAACCAAATCCAGTCGCCAAAACCTACGTATGACCCATGCATCTGTTCTTACTACATATCTTAGTAGCCTTGTGATCGTCTAGTATTTTTACTTGTTGTCTACTCTTTGCTTCTCCTTCAGTCACGTTGTGTAATTACTTCTTCTTATCTATCTCAGTTAGTTAAGAATACGCTTGTCTTACCAGGAATAACAATGCAACATTTCGTTTTTACATTTTATATATCATAGCCGGATACATGGATACAAACATAGTATAGATTACAATACTAAAGTCATTCTCAAACACTAGCCAGTCAGACTCGATGGCCGAGTCTGCTGATAGAAATTGCTACATCTTTTACTTTCGAGAATTTGTCTGTTGTCTGACGAATTCTCACAAGTATGATAGTTTGGTAGCTTTGGGTTTTGGACCTTCAATTATCTAATTGGTCAAATATGATGTAAATCAGTATAGAGATTGGTTAAACAAGCCAAATGATGCAATCGTAAATTTCCTATCACGTGTAATACATGATATTTCTTATTCCCACAGAACCATCTACTCATTCGCTAACTTGATTTAAGTACAAATATGTGAATCTACTAACTTGCCAGAGATATTAATTAATACAATATAATGTTATCCTTAATTTAAAGAGCGAAAATTATACAAAAGTCTTACGAATTTCCCTCACAGCACACTGTATGGCGTAGAACGTTAAACCCCATTTCATTTCGTTTCATTTGTTGTCAAGCGGAGCTAACTGTAGAAAGACTTCCTAAATTTAGTATGTTGTCAGCGGTGCAGGACGGAATGCCTGGCAAGGATGAGACGAAATACAGAGACCCCAGGTTGACAGAATTTGAAATAAGAGTAGGCCGTAACGCCTTTGTCGGTCAATACTTCCCTACAGCACGTCTTTATTAGACCGCTTGATGCAGAAAAGTAGGACGTTAAAACCCCATTTCAATCCATTTCTCAACACCTGCTTTAATCTACGGATCAATAATATCAGAGACCAAATTAACACACAAATGCAATAAAATCAACAACTATACATTTTATCTAAATCTGCGTTTTCAGTAACAGAAGTATCTTTATTTACATGTCTATAATACAAGTTCATTTCTACATTTAAATTTGACTAAGGGGACATAACTGTGAGACGACTGAAGGGCATGACAGGTGCGCTATTGAATTAATTTCGTCGGTTTATATCCTTTCTTAAAAATTCCTTTGGTTTTTAAAACCATAAAGAGACAGGTGAGTCACAATCATTTGGAGTAACCACAAAGAGCCATAATTTATTTTGATTGTTTTTCTACGCTAGGTCAATGGAATCGTATTCAGACTATGTTCTTATTAGTGATCCAATGTAATTCTACTCCATATAATTTGCCGCAAATTAGAGCAAACAATAATGTGGGTTCTATCAGACGTAATTATCGCCAGAATAAACCATGGGGTAATCGTAGGACATTCACTACTTAAAAATAGCGACATTATATTCCAACCCTATCCCCTTCTTCCACTCCCCGTGTATCACGTTATGGAATAACTGTGTAAATATGCCCCCCTCCCTCGATATTGATCTATTTACGGGGTTGGGTGATTCGCGGATGTGTAACACTGTAACTGCGGTGGGTTTGTTTTGTCAAATTGCCAACACATCCCATTTATTTTTTAAAAAATGCGTCTTTTTAATCGAGATCGAAGGCTTTAATAAAAATCAGAAATGTGCGTCCTAATTTACTGGAACGAAATAATAACACTTATACACGTAATTCCAGAGATAGGCTGCCCCCAACTCCCACCAACCCAAATAAAATAATTATAATAAAATCAGGAATTTTTTTCTTCAACATATTTATTGCATGAGAGTACATGTTTATCAATTATACGTTTCTTCAGAATATAAAATTACAATAGGGCTCAATTTTATTTCAAAGTAAAACAAACAAAAAAATATTCTTGAGGTCCAGTTTGGTAAAATAAGTACTCTCACGCAATAAAAATGATGATAACGTCCACTAAGTCATTTCGGGACTAACGCATGGTTCAATTTTTTTTCAATAATACGTACGCTTGCGCGTAGGAGTCTTTAGCAGTGGGGGGAAACCGGAGGACCCGGAGAAAACCCACGTACAACCGGGGATTCGAAACCACGCCAGTTGCCTAAATGACAGACCTTATGATAAATTGCTTTGCACGTTCTCTTTACGTGTCAAAGGCGTAAGAGCCGGGGGGGGGGGGCTGCCCCAGATTCGGTGAATCATCCATTTATCGAGCAATGAATTTTTTCGGACACAAACAGCAGATAATGAGACCATATCATAGAAATATAATTGTAAAATGAAATCGCTCACGGTTTACGTTTTGAATACTTTTATATTTAAGTGGAGATTTGTGGAAAATACGTTTTAGTTAATGATTGATTCATTCTGAAAATTCTTTGGCAAAGAAATTTTCGGGCAAATAGCCATATTATCGGTTTTGTTCCGCAAACGAAGAACACAATCTAATGGACGAAACCCGGGATATATTCGACGATGGTAATACTGAATATATATTTTTATAAACAGTGTTTAATCAATTATACAAGTCACTATTATCAATAAAACTAGGGGTAGAGTTGGGGCTATAATGACATTTGTCGAAATGTTTAAAACACAGGGTGTTTTCTATGGCCAAATAGACTAAGAAAAACGAATCGGGTGAAATTTTTGTCGAAAAGTTACTTTTTACGTTGGTGCACGGCCATTTTATATGGCGGCCAAAAGAAGGCCAAAATCACGATTTTCTTGGAAATGCATATATATTTAGTAGGAAATCGCCTTGTAATATATCATTATACGCCCACATTTTAATATGGACGTATATTGTCGTCGGCCCTGTCCGTCTGGACGTCCGTCCACAATTTGTTTGTGGACACACTGTCACAATTTTTAGTTGATTTTGACGAAACTTAAACTATAGGTCCATCTCCCAAAGATCTCGGTTCCTTTCGATATTGGCATATATCGGAAAATAACTTCATGGATTATGGCCCATTATTGTACGAAAAATCATGGTTTTTAGCTTGTGGACACTCTAGAGGTCACAATTTTCATCTTATTTTGATGAAATTAGAAATGTATGTTTATAACCCAAGGTTCTTGGTACCTTTCGATATTTGCGCCTAAAGGACCGTAACTTTCTGAATTATGGCCCCTGATTGTACGAAAAATCGCGTTTTTAGCTTGTGGTCCCTCTAGAGGTCACAATTATTATCCGATTTAAAAAAAAACGTTTGAATTGATCACTGTTACACTGTAAAGACGCTTGAGTTCGAATGTCTTGAAAATCTGACCAAAACTGCCGGACAAACTGCCGATTTCGATGAAACTTGAAATACATGTTTATAACCCAAAGATCTGGGTTCCTTTCAAAATTCGCACATATCGGATCATAACTTTCTGAATTATGGCCCTTGATTGTACGAAAAATCGCGTTTTTAGCTTCTGGTCCCTCTAGAGGTCACAATTATTATCCGATTTAAAAAAAAGTTTGAATATATCACTGTTACACTGTAATGACACTTGAGTTCGAATTTCGTAAAAATCGGACTAAAACTGCCGGACAAAATGGCCACCCCTCATACGCAAATAGTGTATATATGGAATATCAAGGTTGCGGACCCTCTAGAGGCCACAATTTTGATCCGATTTTGATGAAACTTAAAATACATGTTTATAACCCAATGATCTGGATTCCGTTCGATATTCCCGCATATCAGATTGTAACTTCCTGAATTATGACCCTTGATTGCACGAAATATCGCTTTTAGTTTTAGCTTGTTCTCTATCCATCTCTTGCAAAATGTGGGCGTATCCTGCCTGGCAGTCGCTGGTTTCATGTCACAAAACTACACATGGTTAACACCAAAGCTCTTTGATAAAGTCTTACGGGGGGTAGCCTCAGCTATTGAGAGGCAATCCCTCTCACCTGGACTGAATCTGGCAGTGACACTGAAGCATATTGCCACTGGAGACACATATCGATCCCTTGCGGAGTGCCCAGCGGTGTTCATCTTGGCATCTGTGCAGTCCGGAGACCCTCCTTCTGGATGGATTCCTTTGGATCTCATAAGGTGTTTGCTGTACATGACCTTATACATGTATCTCAACTATATACTACTTTTCCTTTTCAGTAAAGGTAGTTACTGTTTTTATTCTCTTGGCTTTCTTGATGGAGTGGTCTGCCCTGCTCCTCTGGGGCCGGCTCTGACTGGACTGGTTCATATCAGGCTCAGCAGGTGGGACAGCCTTGCCCGTTCCCTTAATGCCTCTGGTAGTCTTGGGTGGCATCTCGTAAAGGATAAAAACAATCACTAGCAAAAGCCAGTTGACAATAAATATGTGTATAGATCGCTGAATTAGGCGCATTGAATATTGGAAAAAAATGGCCGCCATCTTGGAGTATTAAATCTAAATTTTCATAAAACATATGAAATGATGTATGACAAGGCGATTGCCTACCAAATATACTCTTCGAAAAAAAAGTAGGGGATATTCAGAAACAATACAAAACTGCGGAAATGCACTGCTGTTTTTATTAGAGGTAACCAGAGTATGTTAATAAACTGCAAATTGCCTACACATAAAGATAAACAGTTCATATAGGCGGCTTATCTGACGGCCCCATTTCACTCGCAAAGAGATACACTGTCAAAAGTGAAAATGGACGTTTTTGATTTTTGTCTTAATAATGAGTATTGCTCCACCAATCCTCAGACATTCAGCAATTCGTCGTGGCATGCTCCTAATCATCCGTCCAATCACGATTTGGGGCAATCTGACCCACTCTTCTTGCAGTGCCACGGCCAATTCTTGCAGTGTTGTCGGTTGACGTTGACGTCGACGAACATGTCTCTTGATCAAATTAAAGGTAACAGTATATCTTATGCAAGAACCGATAGGAAAGCAAACATGGATAGGATAAACCAGCAAGCGGCAGTTTTCATCAACCCTTCCTTGAAGTGTCAAATTTGACAATGAACCCCTCCCACGTGTATGGCGCTATTGCGTGTCGCAGGTGCAGCTCAGTGGTTCTGTTGGGGCGACAAGTTCTTCATCTGTGAACATACTCTCAAAGCATGTCAAGTGTCCATGACTATTTATCATATCACAACCTGCATAGGTATTTGCATTTCAATACCCCCTACTTTTATTTTTGAAGAGTATATATATATAAATTTCAAAGACCCATTTTGGCAGCAATTTTCATGAGAGAGAGAAAGAGAAATGGGATTTAACGTCCACTCGACACAAACTAGGTCATTTCGGGATTAACATATGGTTTAATTTTATTTCAATAATTCGCTTGCGCATAGGGGTCTTTAGCAGTGGGAGGAAACCGGAGAAAACCCACGAGGTTGGACAGGCGACCCTACTCCTTGTCACGTACAACCGGGGATTCGAAACCACGCCAGTCGACTCAATGACAGACTTTATGATACAGCGCGCGCACGCTAAGCATTCAGCCATCCACTCCCCCCCCCCCAGCAATTTTCATGGCCGTGCACCAACGTAAAAAGTAACTTTTCAACAAAAATTTCACCAGATTCGTTTTTTCAGTCCTTATGGCCATAGAAAACACCCTGTGTTTTAAAAATTTCGAAAAAAATCATTATTGCCTCAACCCTACTAGGATGGGGCCCTAGTAACCTAAGTTACCATGCTTCGTGTACGACACCAGCCGCTATTTCACTATTACATAAACATGTCTAAAATTAAAACCGCCACCCTGTTTTAAATGATTATAAGTCTAGTCTCTACTATAGAGTACTTCACATGGTCCGTCACCATAATGTTAATTGCGAACATTCTTAAACGGATCTGGTCTCATTTCTAGAATCATGACAGTAGAAATTACAGTTGTTAATAAAAACAAAATAAATAGTAGGCGATCTAAAACATAAGCTATGTTTCGCCATTCGCGTAATATTTCATCGTCTTTCATTTCATCAACTTGTTTTTTCTGTATCAGATTCAGTAATTGCTTTACTAATGTGCTATATGTGTTGTGGTTGTTGATGCAATCAGAACACGGCCCTTCGCTGCCATTATCCTGTCTATGTGGGTTATCGCCCCTATAGTCTATCGATGTGGTATCGATAACTTCAATGTCAATTTTCCGCGGATCTAATTTTATGACTTCCAGCTCTTCGGTGGCAACTTTTCCTTTCCTCGAGACTAAACAGTCTTTACTACTTTGTCTTTTCTTCATTTCCTTTGGTCGCTGTTTGATACACAACACTGGCGACAGAATGCGAAACACGAGGATTTTCAGCCATTTGGGAACGCGATGTGGTTTTCCTCTCTGGTGATGAATTCCCAAAATAAAAACAGAAGATAAAACAGATAAACAACTTGTTGTCAAGACAACCATGAGGTAGATGCCTGAAATATAATAAAACACAATATATTGTTTTTGTAAATTTCATACGTTCGCCACTGCCGGATTACATGAATTAGAGAGAGCACGCGGATTGGAGTTTAAACGTGGATAAATAATGGCATCTACGTCAGCTCAAATATGCGATAATGTTTATTTTACCGGGTCTATACCCGCGCGATATAACTGAAATGAAATGAAATGGGGTTTAACGGCGATATAATACATGAAAACTCTTGCAGTTGCCAAATAATCGTTTTTATTGCCTACCAATTTGTAAACGGTGCCTCATTTTTTCGTTGTACTACCACAACTACTAAACATGGATGTAGGCACTGACAACTGAAAATTCTGAAAGGGCTTGAATAGAAAGAAATGTTTCTTGTTAGTGTTATTGATTCCAACACCATTAAATGTTTCCATGTTTAGAATTCGTAGACAAAACATTGATCCTCAATTACAGTGTTATCTAATATTTGGTGTCCCAAAAGATCTTTTCAGACACCTCAAAACAATTACAAAGGTAATCATTAGTATATCTACACAATTACATTTAGCTAATTGATATGTATAGACTCGCTGATTTAATTCGTTTGATATCAGATTGATCTATAAGAATTCACCATATCTTTAGTCCCAGCAACCATATTACACGGTTCGTACGGTTCGTTTATCAATTCGGTAATGGGTTGTTTGAATGGTAATGATGTGTTCAAACTATCACGATACAGAATATTTTAAATATGTTGTGGTGAGTTTACTATTTTTAAAACTACAGTTAATAATATAGATTGATTATGTTTTCAAACAATTATTTCTACTGACGATAAAATGTAGTTTTTTGATACATATTCTATTAATATAAAAGGATACAACCTCGCTTTTAGATATCAGTTTGTGTAAATTTAGAATTTATAATAGAATCTATATCTATAATACAAGCTGCTTAAACATCCGTTTTTTGACTTGATGACGTCGATTATTCTCGGTCTTTCATTTTCAGGAGTATTCCCCAAAATTCTCCGTATAGTGTATAGCCCTATTAAACAATCTACCCCATTGGCATATTCCATGTATGTAACAAAACGCAATTTATTTTTTTTTAAAAAAACGCTTAGAGATACTGTTGTAGTGAAAAAAAAATAAAATGAAATTTGAACAATAAAACAACGAAAGCGAAATATGACCCGTGTTGTAATCAGATTGTCTACGGTGTAAGTCTTAAACATGCATTATGCAAGAGCTAAATCTGCCTATTTCAGGTCTTTCTTTAAGCCTGAAATGTTATCTAAATTATTAATTAGACATTAATTAACCTATCCAGGCCATAATCAACTCTAGATGGCTGCGCTAGCCTGTGATCTTTAGTGGATTGTAAGCCGATTTACTGCATAACTTTCCTTCTCATTAAACGATTAAGTGGATAATCGACACTATGCTGTTTATCGTACTGACTTTAGTAATGATGACCGAGGCTTAAGGGAATTTCAGTCGCTTAGTTCTCGGTTCATAGTGGATCAATTTGAATGAAATTTTCACCAAATTGCCTTCTACCTTATCTAGTTTTTAACTATTATAGTGAGAACTGCCAACTCGTTACCGAATCTCCCATAATGTATCTTTAAGTCACTAACATTTATACTTACTTATGACGGAAATAGATTCGGATGTCTGTGGCATTTTATCGGCTACCATCAACATAAACACAGTAATAGTCAACAATACAGACAGACCCAGAGTTATTTTTTCTCCACTTTCAGGCGGTAGTAAAAATCCAGCTAAACACAGAAAGGACAGAATGATGCATGGAATGATGATATTCATGAAATAATATTTAATACGTCGACGTAGGTAGATGTAAAACGTAACGTCGGGGAACGGCTCGTTACAACAGTTATACACCACTACGTTTCGCTCCACCGTTATTCCCAACAGTTCCCATTCTCCGTTATCAACAAAGTTCGATAGATCCATGGTACTGGAGCGGTTCCACACATCAACCTGCCAACCATTGTAAGCCCAAGAACCGAGCTTTAACTTACAGATCTGGTTATCAAAAGGGAAATAGGTAATATCGATCTTACAAGAACTTCTAAAACGAATGACAGGGCCCCAGAATACACGACTGTTGTTGTACACCATTGCTAAACTCTGCATATATCCTGATGTATAGTCGTCAACACTGCAAAGATAAAGAACAAAAATTGGGTAAATCTAGATTTATTTTCTGTAAGGCAACCCAAAATACTATTATGGTTCTTTGAAGAAAAACGTTCACTATAATGCTTGTTAGGTAGCATGCCTAGATCAAGGCAACCTTTCTTGAAGAATTGATCTATTCACTGGAAGATATTACGGCGATGTTGACCAATGAAAGCTACTAGCCAAAAGTCACGATCACTTTTAATTGAAGATTACCGTTGACCATACCTGTTATATAGAACTATATCTGGTAACCAGATCATGTCACATGGTATTCTAATAGATGTTATGTTCTCAAAATCTGTTGCATTCCATATCAATCTTTCATCATACCATTCCTGTTTAGTAAAAATGACAATCTGATATTTCGTTTCGGTTTATTAATTTCTCACATTTCAATAATACTGGTGGTCCTCAGTCGTACGACGTTAACCGGTTAAATATATATATGCTCAGTCGAGCTTTATGCTTTAGTAATTGGAAGGTAGATTTAGAAAACAAATCAGATTCGTTTTGATAATACCAATGTAAATTGTTTGATCACCATTTTTTGTAATTTTCTGTTGAATATTAAATAGGTCTTTACATAATTAAATTGCATTATTCTTCAGACAACTAGGTGTTATTTCAGAAAACAATTATAAGGACGGCAACATCGGTTTATATCACGTCCCATGCAGACTAATAGCAATCAGTTTATGGATAAGCACTGGGTTTATTGTCAGAGAGTGACAAAAAGAAAGTCTGGCAGACCACAGTTTCGGCTAAAGACTGAATAACTATAACTAAAAATGTTTTAAGAGGTTAAGTAGTGCAGCTTCAGTCTTAAACACAATCTAGGTTTAGCAAAATCCAGCCAGTTAAGGGCTATCTAGGTTAACTGTCATCAACCGTAATTAATAATTACTGGAAGCAGATATTTAACTATGATATCTGATATTATTTTCTCCGCATATGTTTTCAGGAATTTTAACTTTGTAACTTTCATCAAAGTAAGACTGATTTTGATGGCAACGTGAAAATACCGTGCTGGCTCGTTATTCGGGATTCGCCAATAACGAATAACGAGCCAGCACGTTAATAGGGATTCGCCACTAAAACAGACCGGTCTACCTTCCATCCGACCATTTCATCGTTGAGTGGCTGACTAGCACGGAGACGACGGTTTGTCAAGCGAATAGGGTGCTGACTGGTTTGTTAAAGTGCACGGGGCAGTCATCTCCAACAATCACCTGTTTTATTGCCGAATCCCGAATAACGTGCTGCCTCGTTATTCGGGATTCGCGAATAACGAATAACGAGCCAGCACGTTATTCGGGATTCGGTACTAAAACCGACCGACCTACGTTGCATCCGACCATTTCCTCGCTACCCCCCGACGTTATTCGGGATTCGGCAATAAAACAGCTGATCAGTGCCGGACTGGTGGGCCAAAGGCCCACTTGTCAGGTCATTGACCAAAGCCCACACAAGTACCCGCCGAAAGCGTGTCACGAGCGCGGTCCGAGGGGTGTCTTTGCGGCTCTGCCCCCAGGAAAATTTTGAAAATTGACAACCGCAAACCCATTTTCCAAGCATTTCAGACCAAAGCAGAAGAAGGCAAATGTTTGATTTCCTGATACAGAATGACCTAAGAGCACTATCATTAGATGAATTTGAGAATTCTAGTACACTTCTTTTTTTGTGTTGTCATTTTTTTCCTGTCATTTTTTTCCTGTCTTTTCTTTCTCCTGTCATGTCTCCTGTCCTCTACTTCCTTCTTTCTTTTCTCCCCCCTCTCCTTTCTTTCTCTTTTCTTTTTTCTTTATAGGCTTAGGCCCACTTTTTTTTAATGAGCTTAGGCCCACCTGTCCGTGACAGGTGGACAGGTGGGCCAAGTCCGGCACTGCAGCTGATTGCTGGGGAGGACTGCCCCGTACACTCTAACAAACCAGTTATCACCCTATTCGCATAACAAACGGTCGTCTCCGTGCTAGTCAGCCACGCGACGTTCACTTATCCCTACTGTCGGAGGTAACGAGGAAATGGTCGGATCGAAGGTAGGCCGATCTTGTTTTACTTCCGAATCCTGAATAACGTACTGGCTCTTCATTCGGAATACGACAATAAAACAGGTGAATGCAGGAGAGGGCTGTCCAGTCCACGCCAACAAAGCAGTCAATACCCTATTCGCTCGACAAACAGTCGTCTCCTTGTTAGTCAGTCACCCAACGTTCAATTACTGCCGCGTGCACTCCAACAAAACAGTCAGCACCCTACTCGCTTGAGAAGCTGTCGTCTCCGTGCTATTCGATCACCCGACGTTCACTTACCCCTAAGGTCGTAGGTAGGGTAGAAATGGTCGGATGGAAGGTAGACCGGTCTGTTTTAGTGCCGAATCCCGAATCCCGAATAACGAGCTGGCTCGTTATTCGTTATTGGCGAATCCCGAATAACGAGCCAGCACGATCGAATAACGAGCTGGCTCGTTATTCGTTATTCGAATGCCGAATAACGTGCCAGCTTCACGTTGCCGATTTTGATCACGTGTTGTTTAATAGCGGTTATGTATACAATTCCAAGGCCGCGTCGACAGCAAATCTGATTACATTGACGGCAGTCTGAAACTCAACTTGAGTAACTTTAATCACTTGTGAGTTAGAACTGGATTGTAATTTCAACATGCTTCCATCACGTGAAAAGTTCAATGTTTCTCAACAACAAAAGACATTGCCTATTGAATTTTTATACCGATATCTTTCATATTGCATGTTTTGACAATTTCGATTAGTCAAAAATTCAATTTTTTTAGAGATGGGAAACATAATAGAGACCAAACTTGTGATTAATGCAAATCGAACCAGTCTTTGTGTATACTAAATCACTTAGCCATGTAAATGGATAATATTATCCCGATCTTAAAGGTGCACGAAACAGATTAATTCCGATCAAATATTGAGAGCTGGTTAAAGAAAAGAGAAATCGATACCCAGTTCTTTCTGTTTCGCCAGCTTTAACGATAAGAACAAGAGGCAGTTAACAGATCCGTCCAAGTTTTTACGTAATTTGTCGTGACAGTGAATGAAGATCTTTCGTTACCCTGGATATCAATTTCCTGGTAAACAGAAGTTTTTCGTCAACGTATACACCACTTGTCGATAAGGGTTTCACACTATCACTATTTTTCACCATAAATATCAATATCTTCTCATTAACTTTATTATCAAATCATAATTTGAAAGGGATTAAAAAGATGTTGATACAAAACCCGGCTAGCAATTACAAAGCAAACACGCAAGACGGTTCTGTTAAGTATCATCAACCAATGAAATCAATCCTTAGAAACTGCGTGATATTATTTCTATTGACCACTGACCGCTGACTTTAATTGCTGCTAAATTGGCAAATCGGCCCACGTTCTTTCCTTAATCTCGAAGAGAGAGAGATAGCATCCTGGACGTTTCTCTTTTTCCATGAATCTAAAACTAATGCAAATTGCCTAACTTTTGTACACCATTTACTCTTATCACGAGAAGCCCCATGTCGTCGTTGACCAAGCCATTACGACTGTGAATAATCACTAATTCACGGATATTGATTGCAACTGAAGCCGTCGTGTCGACGCTGAACACTGTTATTTTTGCATCATTACCCGAACGTAGGATTTATAAAGAGGTATGCCAGAGTATATTTGGTCAAGTAGAATAATATAATGTGGTAATTTCCCATTTCTGTCGATTCAAAGACTCTCCAACGTAAAGACCAGTTTGTCTAGACTCAAATGAAACGTCGTCCCCCTTTCAGAACTCGACAGTCACAAGACATTTTGATGTTCTAAATTAACTTAGTTTCTTCAATACGCCAAGAAAAGATTTAAAATCCATTAAAGCAAGGGTTTTCTAGACCTACTCATTGATCATAATATTAAACCATGTCGGTTTTTCTTTCTAAATGGAGGTTAGTAAATTATATCCACCATGTATGTATACAAATATAATCAATTACTTGGCTCGGCGTCAAATCATTTCCACATTACTATTATGAGACTGTTTTAAATACTTTACGTTTCGGTAGCTAATATCTTAATTTATATATTATGTTATAATATGCTGTCAAAAACACTAATACTTAGTTCATATTCACAAAAGTTACTGTGATATTATGTTATCTAAAACAGCTATGCTTAGTTCGTTATAATTTTATTGTGATATTATATTATATCCTATCAAAACAGTTATACTAAGTTCAGATTTACAAAGATTATTATATTATGTTATATGATATTTTAAACTGCTATACTTTGTTCATATTTACAAAGTTTATTGTTGATAATATAGATGTTAAACTGGTAATATCGGTAGTTGTTGGTCGTAAGACGAAACGAAGGCTCCCGTGGTAATTTTAACCTTTACTAAACAAAATTAGCTACATGTAATGTAAATGAACAAAATAAGTAGCATAATCACTTTCAACAAGAAATTAAACGTGACTATTTTATATAATAGCATATCATAGTCTCAACCCAGCCAAATCTTTACCCAAAATTCCAGCACTATCCAAAAGTTCTGATATCTATGTAGTTTGACTTGTCTACAAGTTTGGCTCGCCGGTTTTGATTTGCGTTGTGTGCAGTGCAGTGCGATTCTCCTGCACTTACTATTAGGAATACTTTGAAACGTGAAAAGGTCATAAATCCACGCCTATATCCCAGTAATGGATTATCAGATTTGTCTCACACGCTGTTGTGAATATGAACATGTAATGGAATGCAAAGTCAAAGTACGTCTGATCGAAAAGAGGGTTAGTGTTCATAGTACTGAAATAGTGTGCAAATCCGCAAATTGCCAATTCAATTAATGATTCACAATTTAATCACTTTAAGTCAATAACTTCTCATCATTTTGCAAGTCATTGATTAGGGTACTTTAATATGTACATTGGATGTACCACGCAATATGTGTATATATATGTTCCGGTATATTGAAGATGCATTATTAGATCTAGATACATTTCAGTCAAATTACTCAATTCTGAGCGGAGTTATGAATGTTTGAAAAATAGCGTAGTCTCGATTTTCATTGCTACTTTTGTTAGCAACAGTCTCGATAATCCATTTTTAAATTGAATCATTAAATGGCGATTGTGTTCTAATCCGTTCAAAATCATAACCACCCGATGGTCTATAGCGTTGATTATGAAATTGTCATGTGAATAAATGTCTAAATAATAATTATTATAATATTTGAGGCCAAAAGAAAGACCTACAATAGGCAGCTAGATTTCACTCTCATGTAATGCATCCTTAAAGAATTGGAGAAGCGGCTTTAGTGTTATATCTGAAAGGTAGTTACACTCTACAAAAGATTCTTATCTATAATAAACGCTTCAAACGAGGAGCTGTACTGAGTGGTCTAGAAAGGGTAAGCACACCATGCACTACACCCGCCACTTACAGGGCCGGCAGAAGCAATTCTTGATTGGGGGGGGGGGGGCTTCCATCCTAGGTCCTTATAGGCAAGGGTCCAGGGGCCGCAATAACCTGGAGAAAAAGTTCTTGCGGCCAAATTATTAGGGGGGGGCTAAAGCCCCCCCCCCCCACTCCGCCGGGCCTGACTTACTTGGTGCAACAGTTTGGAACTAGTTTTCTGACGCTCATGGCTACTTGTTAGAAGATAACCTCGGGGTCAAGGACACAGGCTTTCAACCTAGTGGTTTAAATACGGACGGTACAGAAAAGCAACTCAAATGAACAGTGATATCAGATAGAGTTCGTTAACTCAGCCCAATGTATGATATCAGTCACTTCTTATAACTTATAGTTAACTAAATAATTGAAAGAGGTAAGTCCAACAGGTTGAAAACGAGATTTACTTACTGCTTCAAGCCACACATTTGTAGTTAGTACTTGATTCTTTTCATCCTGAAAACGAAAAACAGAATATAAATTGTGATGATGAATAGAAAACACGGAAGGAGCTTATGCCCCAAGCGCCAAAATCTTTCTCGGTAAATGCTAGTAAATCCAATGTAACAAGATTAAACCAATAGAGCTCTTCTTAAAGATACATTATGTAAGATTTAGGTAAAAAGCTGCCCGTTCTTGCTTTCTTGCTATACTAGTTCCAAAATAGATAATTCAAAATAAATAT